ATGGGCACGTCACGGCGGATAGGAGGAATATGATGCATATAGACAACCGCAACGAAAATAAAACACCTCAAAACATCCATATATAGATATAATTATATGAAGAAGAGTAATATAGTGTCAAGTAGAAAAGGAAAAAATACAGGAAAAACAAAGAAAACGCAGTGCAACAGAACCGAAATGCGAAGCACATAAGATAAAAAAAAATAAGGCGTCAGTTCGTTTTTTTTTGTTTTTTAGCATGCTATCGAGCTTAATCAATGTTAACAATTCACATCAGAATTTCTTTGTTCGTGCAAATATAGATGTATAGGTTCACTTTAATGTTTGTGCAAACGTTTAATTGGGACCGGAACCTCTTTGGACTCCTATTGAGGTTAATTAAGATGCCTCTTATTTTGTTCCTATACCTCATTCGGTTCTTATGTTCGATTTGTGATCCTATACGCCTCTTAGTCTTTTTAGGGCCCCATGCGATAGAGTCATACGTACCTCGTCTGTCCACGTTTTCCCTTTGTCACTCTCTGGTAGGGCTCACTCTCCTGTTCGGATAAATTTATCACTCGGATCAAAACTCTTTTTGGCTCCAATCCATCTTAATCGAGGCGACTCCTACTTGCGGCCAGCCTTAGGTATCCTAAGTTAGCCATCTGTCCACAAAAGATTTCAAGAAGGTAATGTCTTCGCCGACCTTTCCGAGCCCCGATCACTAGGAAGTAGTCTGTAGTACCCATTTTCTTCGTCTGAGCACGAGGCCCAGATCTCAGAAGTAGGCGTTGGTTCCACCACAACAACATTGCACCACCCCCATAAATGGGTCTATGCAGCATGCTGCACCTCTCCCCAACCAGCCTCGAAGGTCGTTGTTCCAGGAAGAACCATTCCTAGCGATCGAGGTCGGGCAAACCATTGATGGCATCACCGTTCTTCTCCTATTTTGCTTGGGCGACTTTGATGAGACAGGAGCAAAGGGGGTAGAGAACATGACTTTTTGGAACGGGGTTAGGTGAGAGGATGTCATTCGGGATAGCACGAAAGCCTTGGGAAAAACGTTACGTTTATTGTCAGCTTTATTCCTTCTTATCGGATAATTTCCTTCTCCAATATTCATTAGAAATACGTAGGCTGACCCAACCCTCCCAATATGACTTAATTTTCTTCACATAAGCGCTTTAGTATTTCCATCGCCCCACGTAGCACACTCATACGTACCTTGTTTATTCTTAAGCATCGTTTGCCTTCCTTCGAGACCGTCTGCAGGAAGAGGACTCAAACTTATGGTTCCGTTTTCTTTTATGATTGTTTTTTTTTTTCCTAATTATTTATCAACTTTACAACCTTTCTCCGTATGTTTTTTTCCCTTTCAATCTTCTTATTGATTTTAACCGGTCTTTAATATTATCCCATGTCCATACTTTAAAGGATACTCACCTGGTTGTTTTTTCAGGAATAAGTAGAACAATATAAGAGCGAACACAGGGAATAAAACAATATTGAAAAAAAAATTGAAAAAATGTCAGTCGCTAAAGAATATCATAATCTCCATAATAATGAACACATACAACATGAGATAACATATCAACAAATGACTAAAGCAACCTTTATTTTTATACATCAACAATATTTTCATGCAAATGCAAATAATAGTTGTTAAAGAAAGGAATGTTGAAACAAATAGAAGAGAAAGAGAGAGAGAGAGAGAGAGAGAGAGAGAGAGAGAGAGAGACAGACAGACAGACAGACAGACAGAGAGAGACAGACAAAGAGAGACAAAGAGACAGAGAAAGAGAGAGAGAAAGAGAGAGAGAGAGAGAGAGAGAGAGAGAGAGAGAGAGAGAGAGAGAGAGAGAGAGAGAGAGAGAGAGAGAAAGAGAAACAAAGATATAGAGAGAAAAAACTCAAATAAAAGTGTCAAAAGATAAAGAATTTAAGCGTTTTATCATAAACCCATTCAAGTGTCAGCATCATCAATGAAATGAACAAATGTGAAAGCACGCATTCCTGCTCGTCATCCCACCCCACGTCCCCGTTCTCCCTCCTTCTCTAGCTCCTCCCTCTCCTACTGTTCTCACTCGAGCACCAACTAATGCATAAGCGACCATAAAGAAAAACCACACTATTCATCTACATCGTCCTGCCGACGAAGTTGCCTTCTCCTTTCTTCCATTGCGAACTTCTCGTCCTCATCAACAACAACATCTGCATGGGGATAAAGGTTTGTCGTGTTGTCACACGTAGGGGTAACAACCGTCATATCATTTATCTTTCTATAGTCCCCCTTTGTTAAATGGCTTAGACGGCCACACTTTGGACATCGACGCCTCAGAGCTTCAAGAAATGCAAGCACCACCTCATGCAATCTGGTCTCATGCTTTTTATTTATGCTCGCGAGAGCATTCAATTCTTTTTTTACATGGCCCATCTCTTTCATAACCCGCATCGACGAATGAGCACCAATGATATTTGCTAATAAAATTATGAGGCTATACAACTTTTCCTTGTAACTCGCCATCATGTCATCCGTCAGTCCATCACTGCACTGATTCGAGAAACAATGTTGAAACACAGCGTCCATTAACTCTTCTCGTGCGTCCTTGTACAATTGTCCGAGAGTAACAACTGTCGCCCTCTAATGACTATCGCTTACCGGAAACCTCACTGTATTTTGCACCTCCAAAAGTGCATTTCTATGTCAAAGTTTCACACCAACTGTTCGCAATGATTGCAACATACCAATCAAACAACTTTTTGGAATCCCTTCTAAAGTTCGACGTAATGGAAACTCAAACACCTCTGATGCAAAAGAAGGATCAATCGATGGCAAGGCACCCACCGACAACAAATTTTTCAATCCACTCTCGGCTGTTTCACAGTGTCGACGTAAATACTCACTCTCTTGGGACGCATGCGGATCAACTTTAGTACTAAGCTCAATAACTTGGTCAAGTAAGTCATTTCTAATGGAGGATTGAATTAAAGACGTAAGTTGGTTGGCAATGTCCTCACCAACATCATCCTCTTTCTTCACATCCACACTACCGGACAAAGAGCAATCTCTCACCTCTTCTCTTCGTTTCCTTTCCAGGAAACTTTCAAGCACTGATCGTGCATTCACCTCAATTTTTGCGAATGCACTCCTCAGGGCAGTCACTTCCGCCTCCTTCTTCTTCAACATCCCAAGCAACTCGTCCTGAGTTCACCGAAGGCCTTCATTGTATGTAATATAGCGGCCGCATTCTCTTTTCAATGCGGAATCGTTCGGAACCTTACCTGCAATACCATAAGGCACTTTAGACTCACGCTGAAGCAGACGCTGCTCCATGTCATAAATCTGCGAAGCCATGTTATGTTTGTATCGTTCACTACATCCCTCAAGGTATTCCGTTTTCGTGCGAGCATCGACGAACCAATTTTCGAATACACCATTCACATCAGTATGTGCCTCAATTTTCATCGCCACATTGGACCATGATATTCCTTCAACCGGCCTATCTACCTGCCCGTCGACCGCCACATTCATTTGAGTAGATGCTTGTCCATCTGCGGGGACCAGCATGGAAAAAAAATCAACTAATTAATCGATCAAATTGATTGATTGAATCGAAAGAAGAGAGAGAGAAAGAGAGAGAGAGAGAGAGAGAGAGAGAGAGAGAGAGAGAGAGAGAGAGAGAGAGAGAGAGAGAGAGAGAGAGAGAGAGAGAGAGAGAGAAAAAAAAAAAAAAAAAAAAAAAGAAAAAAAAAAAAAAAAAAAAAAAAAAAAAAAAAAGAGAGAGAGAAAAAAAAAAAAAAAAAAAGACTAAGAAGGCAAAAATGATTGATTGATTCATCGATTGATCGATCAATCGATTAATTGATCAATCGCTTGATTGATTGGTTGATTGATTGATTGTTTAATTGAAAAGAAAAAAAAAATTCCTATCAACCAAGCAGTTTATAGTTTATATTGATATGGGAAGTATGGAAGGTAATTCACACAAGCACAATCATTGCAAAGCAAGACGTACAAGAGCAAAGTTTACACAACCAAAATCCGTGCACGTAATGCACAAGTACAATAGTCACACGCTGGTGGGTATGGCACCCCGACCGGTTTCGACCGCCACCACGCGGTCTCTTCAGGGGGACACTCCTCTCGTCTCCCTTACACCTAACCTGCCTTCCTCCAACCCCACTCACTTCGTCGTTGCTCATCATTGAGTATGCCAACAGTGAGACCCAAAAGACTTCAGACGACACGATCATTGTACTTATCTCTCCCGGTTACCTCGTTGTCCTATCCTGTCAGTGCCTCGATTGACATCAGCGCTACCCTACTGACCCGGTAATTTCGTCTCCTGGTCGGAGATCCCTGGTACCCTGTTCCCATCCTGCGCGGTGGGTTCCCACTGACCGAGTTCCCCGACACTCCATTCCACATTCTGTACCCGTGGGACTCCACAAAACCACCCACAGGCCCTGTGTTCGAACTGAACACGGAACCTGCATTAACTCGCTAAGCCACGAGCCTACCGACTCACACAGCTAGCGACGAAACACAGTCTACGCTACACTACTCAGACTATGCACCCTATTCCAGTACATCTTCCAAGCACACAGAACTTCACAAAACGCAAATGACTCTCAACCGAGAGGCTACCACACAATAATGGTTGTTCAACAACATTAATACCGTCGGGCTACAACAAACTGTAACGCTATCTACCACTCATTGCAGATCTGCAGAATCCTCCGACCTATACTGTCGTACCACCAACACAACACCATTACCGATCCAAACACGTCATGTACATTCGAGCAAGTCAGTCAAACAAAATAAAACAAATCAAACAAAGTAAAACAAAATGCATATTACATACACCCTCCGCAATCTACAGTAAAACACTATCTACAGCTCGTTGCAGATCCAGTGACGTGTCGTCTCACCCTCAACACCTTACAGTAAACACTATCTACAGCTCGTTGCAGATCCACTGACGTGTCGTCTCCCAAATTTCTCCTTTGCCGACACTGAACCTTCGCAGTGTCCTTCTCACGAATTCCATCGGAAATTTCTTCAATCCCATTTCCTGGCAGAGTGCGAAGACTCTTCACAAAATTTCCGACCGAATCGTGGTGTTGGCGTCAATCCTGTGCAAGTAACTCGCCAACACCGCCCCTTTCTGCTGCTTGCTTCCCCACGAGTCGTAAAATTGCCCATTCTTGATAGCTAACTTTCCCCCATTCCAAACTGCGTCCTCGTTCTTAGTCATCTGCATGCATCCAAGAAATGGGTAATCCTGTGTCAGCCTCACATCCAGACCCAGGAAGTCCCAAGTGCCTGTTCCTTCGTCCGTACGCTTCAGTTGCAGTTCTGGAGGATAACACTGTTCGAAGTCCGCCCTGATCTTGTCAACTATTCGTGCCTTCTTGCTTGTGGCACTGATCATGATACTCACATCGTCCATCAGTCTCAGCCCCGTCACCATCTTCCTTCGATGCCCAAGAGGGTTCAAGAATTTGAACTCGTAATACGCACACATGATGCATGCTAACGGGGGGCTCGTACTCTTTCCCATCGGGATGCCGACCATCTGCTTCAGCAGCACCCCGGTAGCCTTCATGTACGTATGCTCCAAGTCAACCTTCACAAAGCTTCGGATCTCCTCCAATCCCATCATCCTCCAGTGATCTGCTCCCGTGGTCCTCCCGAACGTGCAACCCTTACCTCTCGTGTTGACTCTGATCCAGTTTTTTCCATTTTCCTTGTAACGGTCGATGATCCAGTCGACCGATTTCATGATCTCTTCGTGTGGCAACTTGCTGAACATGTCCTCATCGCATGCGCCTTGTTGAACGCATCGACTCTTCTGGGAACTTCACTCACCAACCGCAGATTAAAATGTCATTTCTGCGGAAGATTAAACAGCAGATGGTTGAGGGCTTAAGCCACGCATCGTCCTGTCTTCGTCGTTGGATCGTCGTATGATGGGCATATCGGCCTGAATCGGTCCAGGTCTTTGTGTTTTGGTTGGACGAACGCTGCGCCAAAAGACCCGTGCATGGCCACCTCAGCAAAACTTTCCACGCCGGCTTCCCTCATTGCCAACCTCACCTCTTCCTTTACTCTGTCCTCACCCTGCTCAGACAACACCTCATAACCCGTGTTCATGACAAAACCTTCCATCATTGCTTCGAAATACAAGTGCGGGCACATCACTAGTGTTTCGCCCGGATTACGATCCAGCGGGGTCAACACCAAATCACGTAACTTCATCTTCAGTCGTTGAACTTCGGCGATATCCAGAAAGTTCGCTCCATCCTCCGTGTGCCCTGCCATGCACTTCAATGCGTTGTCACGCGTTACTTCCACTACGTCTTCTTTCTTGTGATTGCCCCACATCCCGAAAGCCTCCACAATCTCTTTCCGCAGCAACTCGACCCGATCTGGGTGCCTAGCCTTCAGAACATTCCCTGCGTTCAACAACATCGGGTGCACTCCATCCAGTTCCTGCAGACGGAATCGTACGTGCTCCTCTACTCTGGGGTAGGGGAGGCCTGCGCACTGGCAGGTTGACACAGCCTTACGCGCAAACTAGCGCTGGTTGTGTAGTAGGTCAGCCACGGAAGGGTTCTTCGCCCATACCGTTCTCACCTTACTTCTCGCATGCTTCCTCATGCACACAGGATGGCTCAAACCCCCAATCTTGTCGTTCACCACCTTTCTTACCTCAGCCAAGCTCACTCTCTCATCGTACTTCACCTTCACCACTATATCCGCTCCCATCTTCCAGCCACTTGTCTCCCTGATTACCCGCACGATGATCCGCCGCAGGTATGATCGTATGGTCTTCTTCTGGAAGTCCTTCGTGGCCTTGTACCACCTAAGCCTTCCTTCGACGTGTAGCTCTCGGATCACGTTCATCTTGTTTGGATTTCGAAGCAGCTTAATCAGCGCTTTCCTGTCCGGTCCTATCGAAGGGCACCACCGCCGCAAGTGCCGAATTTCCAACACCCCTCCGTCGTCAATCACTTTCTTACACTTAGCCAATGACGTGTCTCTACCTTTCTTTCTGACCGCCGACCTTCCATACGCACTCTTGACCTTCCTCCAACCGTCCGCCCAACTATTCCCTCCTGCAGAATACAGTGTAAGCCGTCTGATCCCTTGCTTTTCCATTCGATTCAATTCATCCCGGATTCCGATCCGCCACTGTCCTTCTTCACTCGTCTTCACGCGCACCACCTGCACCGTACCCGCCACTGAAGTCACCATCCTTCCTACCTCCCTACCCCATCCACGCTTCCCCTTACGATTGTTACTGTACTTCTTCTTTCCTTACTTCGCCTTCCCACTAGTGTTCAGTACCGGAGACCACTTCCTGATGTACACATGCTCCAGCAACTGCAAATCCTGTTTCTCGCCAACATCTACCGGCAGCATCACGTATGATTCCCACCCAAAGGATCGCCACCATCTGTACAGATGGGTTGTCTGCTCACCCCTTCGACACGCCGATATATGCTCTCTCCAACGTACTCCTACATCACGGTCAGTCTGCCCGATGTATTGCGCCTTGCACTTAGGTGATGCTAGTACGTAAATTCCTGTGTGGTTCTTTACACAATCAATGCCACGTGTATTATACAGTTCCTGCCAAGCCGCCACGAATTTCGTCAACCATCGTACTCTTCCTTCCAAAGTCAGTAGTATCACTACTGCTCGCAGCATCTCCTCGAGATTGCCGTCGTACTCCTTCCGTGCCTTCCGTAACTCGATGATGCATAAGCATAACGACCGTAAGTCAGCACAACCCGAAGGTAGTCAACACTCTTCCTCTTCCTCCTCTTCGTTGCTGACTTCGTCGCCGGATGTTGCCTGGTCCGCCTCATCTTCCGTTGTTGCCTGTATCTTCACGCTTGTTTCATCGTCACACTGCGCTTCCCCGTACGCTTTTGCCGCATGCTTTTCCGCTATGTTCACCACCGCGACCACCTTGTTACCATGTTCCACATCTGCTCGTCTACGTATCCTCTTCAAGTCATTCGCTGTGCAAGTAGCCAGTTGCCTGATGTTAGTGCTGATATACTTCGCCCTTCCTCCTTTCTCAGTTGACGCTGGAACCTTACACCTTGGCGTTCCCTTCCTTGGTGAGAACTTGGCCGCTTTCTTCTTCTTTGTCTCCGTCCTCACCTGTGCTTCCTCCAATCGACCGGTTGGCTGTATTGTTGTCCCCTGCCCCACCGTTCTTGGTAGTTTACTGGTCGTGGCGTGCATCCGCGCCGCCAACTTCACTGGTCTAATCCGTCGCTTTGGTGTCTGCTTAGTTCCTGACGCTGGGCTTCTGCCTTGCGAACTAGCCGCACTCCTCTTCCTTTTTTTTTATATCCGTAGCTTCTCGGTTCCCGGGCTGATTTCTTCGATCTCGCTGTCAACCCAACCGCTTGTAAATGATTCCTCCGATTTCGCCGGCGACGCAACTTTCTCCTTATTCCGCAATGATGACTGCATCATGGCCATGCCATGCTTAAACTGATCTCTCATTTCTTCCCTCATTCCGCCCATACACATCGCCACATGGATATGTAATGATTTCGCAAATTCCGCGCGCTCCTCTTCCTCTTGCTTTTTCTTTTTCAGCTTCTGCTCAGCGCGCAACTCCTTCGCTAACTTCACTTCCTCCAGTTTCCGTGCGGCTTTTTCCTCCTGCATCCTCCTTTCCTCCGCTCGTCGTTGTTCCTCTTCTTCAATCCTCGCCTGCTCCTCACGTTCCTGCCTTCTCCGCTGCTTCTCCTCGTTCTTCCGATTCTCTTGCTCAAGGTGTTCCTTGAAAGTCGCCACCATCTGACCTATCGCCTCCAGCTGTTTCCTCGTGTCATCTTCCTATTTATTCCCTGCAAACGTTACGCCAGACAAGCTCGCACCTCCTCGCCCGACGCCTTCTCCCGCCTTTTTCCAACATTGGTTCCTGTAATGCCCCACCTCCCCGCACTCAAAGCAGGTAGGTGGCGCTCTTCTAGGATAGTCCCGCACATTTCCACCACCATCGTTATGGTACGTACGCTGGTAATCGTCCCTGCTTCGCCCTCTTGGATGGTGGCCATACTCGTCATGCACCAACTCTCTCACTCATTCGCATCCCCTCTCGCTCGTCTCCCGATAGTAGTCCCCACTCCGACCTTCACTCTGTCGTTCCCGACTGCTTCCTCGGGGACGCCGATCCGCCATTGTCCCACCCTCGCTCGGTACCGGTACTACCCGTGTACCCACTGAGTGCTGTCGGCCTCGTGTAGCGGCTCTCAATCTTCTCGATCCTTACACTCACAACGACACTACAAGTGTCCTCGCCTAATGATGAAATACCCAAGTGATCGTAACCAGATAATCAGCCATAGAACAGCAATAGATCATGCTCACTCACGCCCTGCATTCGTCTCCAGGCAGGTTCACATGCGCCTTCAGTAGTTTATACTGATATGGGAAGTATGGAAGGTAATTCACACAAGCACAATCATTGCAAAGCAAGACGTACAAGAGCAAAGTTTACACAACCAAAATCCGTGCACGTAATGCACAAGTACAATAGTCACACGCCGGTGGGTATGGCACCCCGACCGGTTTCGACCGCCGCCACGCGGTCTCTTCAGGGGGACACTCCTCTCGTCTCCCTTACACCTAACCTGCCTTCCTCCAACCCCACTCACTTCGCCGTTGCTCATCATTGAGTACACCAACAGTGAGACCCAAAAGACTTCAGACGACGCGATCATTGTACTTATCTCTCCCGGTTACCTCGTTGTCCTATCCTGTCAGTGCCTCGACTGACATCAGCGCTACCCTACTGACCCGGTAATTTCGTCTCCTGGTCGGAGTTCCCTGGTTCCCTATTCCCATCCTACGCGGTGGGTTCCCACTGACCGAGTTCCCCGGTACTCCATTCCACATTCTGTACCCGTGGGACTCCGCAAAACCACCCACAGGCCCTATGTTCGAACTGAACACGGAACCTGCATTAACTCGCTAAGCCACGAGCCTACCGACTCACACAGTCTACGCTACACTACTCAACCAAACAGTCAATAGAATTGCGTGATTCATGGGTAGATAAATAGACATAGAGACAGAGAGAGAGAGAGAGAGCAAGAAAAA